CTGGAAGTCAGCTTAAAGAAGACTGAAGTTCTCTATCAACCGGCGCCTCAGAAAGTATACCACTGGTGAATCAGAGCTCAAGTCAGTCCAGCAGTTTAATTACCTAGGTAGCCTCATCTCCTCAGATGGTAAGATTGATGGAGAGATAGACAACAGGTTAGCAAAGGCATATAGTGCTTTTGGAAAACTCCATAAAAGAGTTTGGCAAAATAAACACCTGAAAAAAAGTACCAAGATCAGTGTTTACAGAGCCATAGTGCTGTCTACTCTTTTATATGGATCTGAATAATGGGTCATCTACCACCACCACCTGCGTCTCCTACAACGCTTCCATCAGCACTATCTCCGTACAATCCTAAACTTCCACTGGTCAGATTACGTGACTAATAAGTCTGTTCTAGAACAAGCAGCAGTCACAAGTATTGAGACCATGTTGCTGAGAACACAGCTGCGTTGGGCAGGACACATCTCCAGGATGAAGGACCACTGCCTCCCTAAGATCCTGCTCTATGGTGAACTTGCCACCGGCTGCGGCAAGAGAGGAGCCCCGAAGAAAAGATACAAGGACTCCCTGAAACATCCTTGGCTATATTGATCACCATAACTGGTCTACTCTGTCCTCCAATCAGGAGGCCTGGTGACACACTATCTATAACTAAGCTGATGCTTTTGAGAAAGCACGCAGGATCACTCTTGAGGAGAAAAGACAATGCAGAAAGAATCGAGTCTTGCAGAACTGGACGTGCCTGTCTCGTATTGGCCTTTTTAGCCACCAGCGCTTGTAACAAAAGAGGGTAGAGCCCTTCCCAAATCTTCGTTCGAGAAGCCTAGACATGATGATGAGTGCTAATTTCTTCAAATGAAGACACTCCTTGACAGAATGATTAAGTAGTAAAGAATTTAATACTCTGTGCATGTTTTCTTTCAGAATACAAAACCAAAACAGCCAACCAAGGCAACTGATTTCCATCCATTGAAAAAATGTATTAAACATTATATATTAACAATGGATCAAACATTCTATATAAACAATAGATTAAATTAACGAGGTAGTAAACAATATATTAAACATTAATGTTTAGTTAATATTAAATGGCTTAAAGAATGTATTCCAAGTGACAGGAAACCAGTTACAACACTGGGTCTGTCTGCACTAGTGTTTTATTGTGCAAGAAGGGGGCCTTTGGTAGAGATTTGCTTCGGTCCTGCAGTCTGTGCACTCTGAATGACTTCTCCGTGGCAGGACTGAGGTGACACCTGCCCACTGCAGTGCTGTGCCCCTGCCTTGCAGTATGGACAGGAGGTGCTCTCCGTGCATGCACAGTGCTGTGCAGGCCCAACAGGAGTTTCATTTCTAGTGAAGACCAGATGTGGACATAGAGTTTGGGAAGCTTGCAGGATTGCTGTAAATCAAACCCCTCTCTATCCCTGTTTGC